TTGACCTCCCCTAATAAATTTATAGGCGGCCACAAGATCTCTCCTCAGCCGTCTCTTGTGAAGGCTGAAGAGATTCAGCTCTCCCAACCTCCCCCCGTAGGGTCTATCACGAAGGCCACTAATCATGCGAGTGGCCCTCCTCTGCACCCTCTTGAGATTCCCTGTATCCCTCTTGAAGTGTGGCGCCCAAAACTGGACACAGTACTCCAACTGTGGCCTGACCAGTGCCGCATAAAGGGGGAGCATCACCTCCTTTGTTCTGTTAGTCATGCACCTGCTAATGCGCGACAAGGTGCGATTGGCCTTGTTGATGGCCTTGTTACACTTCCGGCTCATGTTCATCTTGGAGTCAGTTATGACTCCAAGATCCCTCTCTGCCTCCAAGCTGCTGAGAAAGACGTTCCCCAACCGTAGTAAACATTGATGGAAAATACCTAAACTTCTAGTGTATTTCAGAGCAAAATTCCTACATCACATTAAAACTGGCAAAAAAAGAACAAATTGGCAAAGAAATTACACCTTTAAAACCCAGTATCCTCTGTGACTAGCTCTTGCATCCATTCATTTCTTTGTTTTTAATTTTGCTAACTTTCTTCAGACTCTTGTAGCAGGATCCTACTGTGGTTCCTAGCATTATAAATACCATATTTTACAGTGTACAAGTGTACGTGGTGTATAAGTTAACCCCATACATCTGATCAAAAAAGTTAGGATTTTTGTAGATCCGGTGTATAAGTCAACCCCACCTCGCCAGAGCCACCTCCAGGGGAGGCATCAGGTGCTTGAACTCGGCTGTCACCTTGTCCTGGTACCTTTTTTATAAATGTGTGTCCATTGTGGCCAGAGCCTATGAGCTGCAGCCAGGCAGGCAGCAGTGGAGCTCAGCATAGCGGGCTGCAAGTGGCTGCTGCCCAGCAAGTGCTGCTTGTGGCTGCTACTGTCTGTGCCCCAGTGCTGCTGGCTCTGTGGCTCCTGCATCATTGTGCAGTGGCTCCACCCCACTGGCCAAGATATACCCAAGGGACAGCCATTGAGCCATAGATAAGTATCCCCGGGCCAGATTTGACAGGTGCGGGATTTGGGAGCCTAGCCTGGATTCGGGGTATCAGGCAGGGCAGAGGGGAGGCAGAAGCCTGGCCTGGCCTCAGTCAGCACTGGGCCCCTAGACACCAGCACACCATTTCTCCATGGACTGGGTGCGGCAGAGTGCCGGCGCGGGATCTGGCTGAAGACAAATGAACTTGGAAACACAATAGTTTTTTATTTCAAAGCACTGATACAGTGTATAAGTCAAGGTGGAAATTTAAGGGTAAATTATTTTGGCTTCAAATTTTGACTTATGTACCATGAAATACAGTAAGTCTCTTCTCTACTATATTTTCTATAGTGACATGCTCCTAAATCAAAAGGAAATATTTAGCCAACATGAATACATGCCAGGTACTGGTCATAATGAAACACTTACACTCCTTCAATCCTTGAGAAAAGTATGTTTCAGTCTCTTGCTGAGCAAGAGCTGCAACTATTCATATATTATTCTATAGGCACTGAATTAAGTCACATGAGAAGATTCCCTAGGCAATATGAATACTATCCTCTGCTTTATGGTATTGTGTGGCGATTGGTTATTTGCCAAATTCTGAGCTCTTGACCTGCAAGGGATGGGGTTTGAATACAGCTCATCTCTTCATAGATGAGAGCTTTATTAGCAGGTCTGCAGGAAGAGTCAGAGTAGCATTCTGTGCACTTGTAGATGCATTAGTGCTACCCAGTTTCTTCTAAGCCACTGAAAGAGAACAAGTGTCCCAATGGAAACGACAATGGGAATATTATGAGACAGCTCCACAATACTGGAAACTATCACCCTAGTTAGCCTGCTGAACTCAATGAGAAGACAAGCTAATAATGAAAGGCTTGTTTTATCTAGTCTATACCTTGGATGCCTGTGCTGTTTTGATGACTTAGATGTTTTGTAGATAGAGTACTCGCTTACCCATGCAGTAAACCTAACTTTTATGTTAGTTAACTCAATATAGTGTGAATCATCAACCATAAGTTGGTCTGACCTTTTCAGTTCTAATCAAGAAATCTGAAATATTATTTTGGAATCTGTCAGCTCTCATAAATACGTAGTAAGAGTCTGGGTGTAACTGAAAATGGCAAATACACATTACCTATCAAAGATATGATGAATATGAACAAAAAAACAAGTTACAGTATAAATCTGACAAGTTTCCTGGAACAGCGTCTGTTGTGCATCTTAATTACATCCTAGATAAATTGCTTTGCTAGTGATTATTAAAAATTCATTCTTTGGAAAGCGTAAAGCTAGATGAGTGTTGGAAAATGCATGCTTCTGAGAGAGGAAGATGAATAATATCTATTAAGAATATTTCTGAAAAAGTAATGGGCAGCCAGAATATAAAGCTAACTCTAATATGTTTTGCTAAGTATATTTTGTGTGTGTTAATTTTATGCCATTCTCTCTAACCTGAACATTTTCCTTTAAAAAAATTTTTTTTTTCTGGTTTTACTTTTTTTAACCATCCTAGAAACCGTTTGATGGAAACTTTATGAACAAATAGAGGTGCCATTATAGCTGTGTCCTGTATATTGAATTTGGTGCTAGAAAACTTGAGATGTTGTTGTTTTTTTTAATTTTTATTTTTTTATTAGGACAAAGAGCAGTGTCTATTTTACTTTAAAACAAAAAGGCTTAAAAGCCATCATGCTCTTGATGTGTTGCACCTAATAGTCAGAGCTGAGTTAAAGCAGGCTCAAACAATTACTTGTTAGACTTGTTTCTTGATATGATTGATAGATGTTAACTTTGGACTAAAGTGGATGCATATAATAGCAGATTTGTATTCCAAGAAAGATTATTTTATAATGTGATCAGAGGCCTTTTAATTTAAGGTGGTTACTGCAGTAACTTGTTGTTGATCTACTCAATAGGTAGTTTACACAATTAGATACATTTAATGATTGAATTGCTGCTACATGCAAAATTCTGTCAGAATTAAAAACATAATGAACTGTCTGAAACTGATGCTTAATTGGTGGGGGGGGTGTTATTTTAACAGAATGTATATTTAAAAACAAAACAAAACTTAAGGATAAATGAGAAGCTTTGAAAGCTTTCTGTGTGGCAATACTGACCTCCAGTGGTATGAACACAGTTTGTTAGATCCTTGAAGGACATGTTCCGGGACTGGCTTATTTAAGAATGAGAATACAACTGCTAAACACAGAATTTCAATCAAGTATTACTCTTTCTATCTTTTGATTAAGCAAGCACATGAAATTAACATAAAACACAGTAAGAATTCATCAAGCATATGTAACAATAGTATAAAGAGAGACTGAAACAATGAGTCAAGCTTGGATAAGTTAATATTAGGCAGAAAATATTTGAAAATTAGTAGACTAGTGCTTTTAAGCAGGCTTGTGTGTTTCAGGTCAATGGGCCTCTATAGATGCCTGTATTGCAGTGATCTTTTGTTTGACAATTTTACCTTAAGACCGCATGATGTTGAGAGGTTTAATGATGATTATGGGCTCAATCCTGCACCAAGGAAGTCAATGGGAGCTTAACTATTAAATTATATGGGAGCAGCATCATACTGGATGTTCATGGAGCTGTAGCAAAACTTCCTGGTTATTTCTTCCCAATTGTGAAAACCTATATTATCTTTTTATAGTGTTCTTGTTCCATCTCTCACTATTGGGTAACTTGCAGTAGAGTCTAGACTCCAGAGTAGTAATTTTTAGCCTTTATAGACTCAAGATACCCCTCAATAGACTCGAAGTACCTTTTGGAAGATGCCACCTATTCATTTTTATTAATTTTGTTTTACTACAGAATAACGATAGAGCAATTCTGCTTTTGCAAAGAACTCAGACCACAACAGGCCAGAATATTTTTAATAGTATGGATTCCTGCTTGAAATCTCTGGGTTTATCTGGTGAATCATGTTCTGAATACCTAACAGTGCTAACATTGCATGTCACCTTGTGATACCCCTGAAAGGATCTTAAGGTAGGTACACCAGGGTACTGCAGCACCTGGTTGAGAGAGACTGCTCTAGAGGGTGGGAAGGGATTAATTCTAGTTCAAATATAAGACATTTAGATCCAAAACTGAGCCCATTGAAGGCAGTTATTGAAAGGTTTAAAGCATCTATTTTGTTGTAATGCCGTTTTGTTTTTTTTATATATATATAAAATATATGGACAATTTCTAAAACTTATAACTGACGTTTGTTTTATATATTATGGGTAGCTTGTAAATTTATATGCAATTAAAGCATCATGGTCCAAGAAACATCAGTTCACTAATATTGCTAAAATAGTTAAATGTGCTTTGATGCACAATAGCTAATAAGCAAGTAGTCAAACACGCTTATCTTCACCATGACACTTTTAGAACTAATAGAATTAGTGAACTAGTCATCTAGACTGACCTTGTAAACCCAACTCTAAAACCCAGACTGCTTAAAAGGTCAGTCTAGATTACTGCAGTAATCTCTCTGCACAGCAATAATGGCAGCTAGATCTGTTTATCTAACTTTCCCTATTCTGGCTAATATTCGACATCTACCTACTTAATCGTTTGACACTCACCAATAGCTAACTGAGAACTTTAATCCATTTGCATTATTTTAATTATTTGCCAAGAGTGAGTTTAACTATGATCCATTTTTCTACCTCCTTCACCCATTCCCCAGTTTCACTGGATAGGGGTTTTTAAAAAGAAATGAGCTATATCTTCAATAGCTACAGAATCATATTTCCTTATGCAGTTACAGGTGTCTGGGTGCATCCCTCTAATTAGAATCTCTTGTTTTTTCATAAACAGAGTGGTGTGTCTCTTGCACTATATATATTGTTCACTAACATATCCATAATGGACACTTTGTAAAGCTGGATATTTCAACCCTATTTCGTTTGTATGATGAATCTATATGACATTCTTTTTTTCCTCTACACATTCCCTACAGGTGCTAGGTTTGCTGGTCTGGACACTGATTGCTGGAACAGAATATTTCCTATATCCAGCCTTTGGCTGGGTGATGTTTGTAGCTGTGTTTTACTGGGTTCTCACTGTCTTCTTTTTAATCATCTATATGACAGTGACTTATACCAGGATCCCCCAGGTGCCATGGACCACAGTGGTAAGTATGCACAGTCTTTATTTTGGGGGGCTTTTTTGATTATACTCTATTTGGGACACTGGAGAAAGCAAAACACCAATGCACTCCCTATTTGCAATTAAGGAACCTTTAATGTGTTTAATCCTTATTTCTGCTGAGCATCTGTCCATATCCCTGGGCCCTGGTTGTTATAAAATAATTCATCTCAAACTTGATCTGTTGCAGATCACCTCTTCCCACATCCAGTATATTAAGGAGGGTCAGTATAATTGAAAACCTGTTTAGTTTGTATGTCTCCTATTTTCAAGCTGTAGCATCCATTCTTCAAATCAAAATGGTGAGAGAGAAATTAATTTGCTAGTCTAACAGAAAGTCATGCTAACAAAGTGATGAGTAGCCCTGTATAGGAATCGGAGTCTGGTGCCCTGGCTTTTTAGTTCGAGCAGTAAAGGCCCAGAGCAGAGTCATCTAGAGGGATAAACTAGAGATCTCTGGATCTAAAAGCAGATCCTCTTCTACTTCAACTAAAGGAAAAGTGGATTCAGTGGCATTCTTAAACCATTATAAAGATCCTGACCACAAAAGGAGGGGACATGTTACAGCATTTAGTGTCGCACATATATAACATTTTAATTTGCTGACCGTTCTTTCATGTCATCCTTTATATCAGTTGTTTGCCTTACTTGCACTAAATTTTGGGCAAGTAGAGAAATGTCTGAACGTAGATGAAATTCATGAGTGGCTGAAATCCAGATTCAAGGTTTATAGTTTGAACAACCCCTAGTAGCAATAATTTAAGGCAGTGGATTTGTTATAGACATGACTTCCATGATAAAGACACTTTTAGTAAGGGAAATAAGTTTTAAAATTTTTGTCACCTTAGCTAGCCTGCTATTCACCATGACTCTTCCATGAATTATCACAAATGTGGCTTTGCATATATCTAATATAATAGAGTATTGATTTTTTTTAAAGGGGTTTAAACAATTATTTGAAGATTATTAACTTGTTTTGAATTACTGTTGTTGTAAAATAAAAAATACTTGAATATCTTTCATGACAAGTGACTTGTAATTTGTATATGGCGTGCTTTGGCTGTTTAACTAAAACTCTGACTGTTTTGCTGACATATCAATTAGTCAACTATCATAATCCTGATGCAAGAAACCAGGATTATATTCAAATTTCTTTTTAGTTTTCAATTATCATGACCACCAGTTGCTGTTAAAACTGTAGTATGGTTACTGAAGTACTGCATTATTTTGATTACAGTAGTAATGTATCTTGATATGTTTGTTGTAATTTAAAAAAACCCTTCTATCTTTGAAAGTAAGGCACCTCATAATTTTGAATATAGTTTTGAATGTTATATCAATAAGCAGCAGAATCTGGTAAGGTGGCACCTGCCAATCGGTGGCACTGGTCTGTATGGTCAACAACCATGGTGGGATTCTACACATGACTGGTCGGTAGGCATTGAGGGGTATAGGTTGTATAGGTGTGATAGAGTGGGGAAAAAAGGTGGGCGGGGGTAGCACTCTGTTAAGGAGCAGTATACGTCTTCCACCGTCAAGGCAGAGGTGGCGGAGGGGAACGCTGAGGCATTGTGGGTCAGGATCCAGGGGGGGCCAGGGGAAAAGGACTTGGTTGTGGGGATCTACTACAGGCCTCCTCAACAGGATCAAGAGCTAAACAATGTATTCTCCAGACAGCTAGGAGACGCCACACAAGCGAGGGAGGCGGTGGTCATGGAAGATCTGAACTACCCAGATATCTGCTGGGAGGAGCAGACAGCCAAAACAAGCCGCTCGTGGAGGTTCTTACACTGTGTGCAGGACCTCCATCTAACCCAGGTGGTGTCTAGTCCTTGCTTGACCTGGTCTTAGCAACACGGGATGATCTCATGGGGAACATGCAAGTTCACGGTAGCCTGGGAGATGGTGAACTCAACCAAGTGATGGTCACTATCCAGCGAAGGGTGGGTAAAGTAACTAGTGGGGCTAAGGTGTTCAACTTCAGAAGGGCCAACTTTAGCAAGCTTAGAAGGCTAGTTAGTGAGAGGATGCAACTCAAGAATATAGAGCAAATGGGTCCAGGAGGGTTGGAGGTATCTCAAGGGAGTGATCCTTGGGGCTCAAAAGGAGTCTATCCTATTACGTAGGAAGGGAGGTAAGGGGGCTTTTTTGCCCCCTTGGCTGAGCAGGGAACTCCAGGAGAGTCTGGGGGCAAAGAAGGAGATGTATAGACAATGGAAGCAGGGGGCAGCCACCAAGGAGGAATATATCTCCCTGGCACGCTATTGCAGGGAATTAGTTAGACAGGCCAAGGCAGGGCTTGAGCTCAGGCTGGCTTCAACAATCAAGGACAATAAAAAGTCCTTCAGGTATATAGCGGGCAAAAGGAAAGCTCAGAGCAACATAGGGCCCCTGCAGGACAAATCAGGACAGTTGGTGGTTGACGCGGGAAAAAAAGCAGAGCTCTTCAATGAGTTCTTCACTTCAGTATTTCTAAGCACCAACCAAGCCAACTCCCTCACCTTGATCATTGACAGATGTCCACATGGCACCAGTCTGCCTACAGTTAGTTCTGAAATAGTTAAGGAGCTCCTGGAGGAGCTGGATGGGTACAAGTCAGCAGGTTCGGATGACCTCCATCCACGGCTGCTGAAAGAATTGGCCAGT